GCGGAGAAGAGATTCAGAGCAGCCCTGCGGAGAAGGACTACGGGGTGTTGGTCAACAAGAAACTGAACATGAGCTGGCTTCAGTGTTTGCTCACAGCCCAGAAAGCTGTATACCAGACTGCACCAAAAGGAGCGTGACCAGCAGGTTGAAGGAGGTGATCCTGCCCCTCTATTCTGCTCTCTTGAGACCCCACTTGAAGTACTGTGTACAGTCCTGGTATTCCTAACATAAGGACATGGAGCAAGTCCAGAGGAGGGCCATGAGGATGATCAGGGGACTGGAGCACCTCCCGTATGAAGACAGGCTGAGGAAGCTGGGGCTGTTCAGCCTGGAGAAGAGAAGACTGCGTGAAGACCTCATAGCAACCTTCCAGTATGTGAAGGGAGACTACAAGGGTGCTGAAGAGGGACTCTTCATTAAGGACTATAGCAATAGGACAAGGGGCAATGGTTTTAAACTTCAACAGGGAAAGTTCAGGTTAGATATAAGGAAGAAATTCTTTACCGTGAAGGTGGTGAGGCACTGGAACAAGCTGCCCAAAGAAGTGGCAAATCCCTGGCATTGTTTAAGGCCAGGCTGGACAGAGCCTTGGGTGACATGGTCTAGTGTGAGGCATCCCTGCCCATAGCAGGGGGGTTGAAACTAGATGGTCTTAAGGTCCTTTCTAACCCAAACCATTCTATGATTCTATGCTTCTATGATTCTATAACTGCAGAAGTGCAATAAAATACTCTCATGAAAGTAGTAATGTCCATAAATCTTCACATTCCCCCCACCCCTAGCCACCTCATTTTATACACAAACATGGAACAAAATGATGCATAAAAGCAGCAAAACTGATTACCATCAGCAGAGTTTCCCTTTTAATGTATTAGGCCTTTAATCTTTTCTTAAATGTTGGCCATTAAAATTATTAAACTACTTACCTTCCGCCTGCCAATGTATATTTTTTGAATGAACTGACTAAGGTTTTTTAAAAACGTTACTGCACCATTTCCATAGCCTTCCTGGTGTGTTTTTTAGTGTAAATTTTGCATTGTTTAATGAAGTCATCTCATGACTTTCTGCAAAGCCAGTGGCTGCTGTATACTGCAGGAACTGCTTCTCCCCTCATTTGTTACTGGGAGCCTGGGGGTTCAGAAAGGTCTGTGGGCCATGATAAGCAGGCAGAGATACCTCTCACTCTGAAGTCATCTACTGGGAATGGATATGCAGGATTTCCAGAGCTACCTTTTAATTCTTTTTCAGGCTCATGAATTGAGTCTTAATAATGTCCACAACCAGTAGGTTAACTACCAGTTAAATAAACATTATGACAGCTAATAGTATAATTATTTACATACTTCTGAAGGGACTACAGCACTCCATAGGGGCAGCAGCAAACAGCAGCAGGTTTGACAGGTCCTTTTCTTTGCAGGACAAGTGAAATGACTGGCAGAGATTTTCCAAAGTGCTGTGGGGTCTTAGGCAACCCTTCTGAGGGGTCTCGAGGAGGCACTGGCTTTTCAAAATGCCAGAACATCAGCTGTTTGAATATCACACTGCCTGAAGGAATCTCTATGATGGAGCTATCCCAGATCACTTGTAATGTTTGAAAACACTGATTATTAACAAACTTAACGCTGTTGATCCCAAATTAAGTGTTACCCTGTGAGTCAGTGAGGTCAGGGTTCTCACACTAGACTTAAGAACAAGTGACAAGCCTTTCTTTAGCTTTTCATTTAGTATAAGTCTAGTGCCTATGACTGTCAGAAATTAATGATGCAGTCTTGAAATATGAACCATGGAAAATGAGTAAGATTAATTCTTTTACTGAATATGCCACATGCTGACCACAGTGACTTTTGCTCTCTGCTGTCTGCTCTCCTTGGAGAGCAGTGACTAAGTACTGGGTGCTGTGGGAAAAATGTTTGGGTGTAGCAGCTGAGTTTCTGGATGCTCTGTGCTGATCTTGTGAACACTCAAGCAAATGAGTAACTTCTCACATTTGAGCAGTCCCACTGAACAGAAGTCACTTCTTCCTTCTATGTTTGCAAACTCAGGTCATGTAAGTACTCAGCTTTCTCTAGCAACAAAATTTAGTCATTTACTTTTCATTTGTAACAGTCAGTTTAAATTTCACTCAAAACAACCAACTGAGAGTGTGCCACCTCAGTAATTGACAATTAGCCAACCCAGCCAAGATAGTGTATGAGTTACAGTAAGCACACATGAAAAGTTGCATCGGTCATTTATTATGAGCAAGTTTGCCAACTTGGCCCATCTTCCTGTATAGTTCACGTGTTTGATACAAGCAATGAAAGACATTCCACTTATCTTAATTGCTTTACTTGTGTCTTCCATATTCCTGTAATGTTTCTTGATCGTTCAGCCTTAGAAATTAAATGCATTGTCTGCTATTATTTCCACAGTTATCAAGTATGTGCAGTTAGGTGGTATCATTGGTAGATATATGCTACCCTTTCACTTTTAAAAGTCTGGAATTCAGCTTTTGCATTAGATTAAAAGTACAAGCACAGTTGGCTGGATTAGTTTAGCTCCTGGCTGTCTCCTGTAGCAAAGCAACCAAACCAAACTGGCAGTGTAATCAGTTATCACCAGCTGTATTGATAACTGCAGTTCTCATCCAAAAAAAAACCTGGTATGTGACTGCAGAAAGTTTACTTTCAGTTAAAGTGATTGCTTTAAAAACCTTGTATGTGTAAAAAAACTTGTATGTGACTGCAGAAAGTTTACTTTCAGTTAAAGTGATTGCTTTCTCTTCACATAAACAGCCTTAGTTTAGAAGTTTCTCTAACAGGCATGCATAACTATTAAAGATACATGAGCACAAAACAGACCAGGTAACTTAAAACTGGTTACAGGAAAACCCTTCAGCAGCCCACATGAGAGCAAATCACATTTGCTCAGGCAAACATGGAAAAGCTACGATATATATGCATGGATGCCTGAATTCCATGGCCTCTGGTACCTGTGTGGGCTGTGAATCAAGGTTGTGAAAGACAGGGGAATTTTGATTTTAAAACCTTTCTCAGATAAAGGGTTGCTAGGACAGTTTTACAGGATTAAAAAAAAGCACTGCCATCCCCCTGTGCCCTTGTGTGTGGAGATGCCTGCCTTACTGTAGATTAATTGTTTTGGAAGAGGCACACTTCCAGCATCCAGAGTTCTGGTCCTGCTTAGTGGAAGCCTGGCAATTTTGAAAAACACAACATTGGGAATTATAATGGAAAGTGGCACCCATGGTGATACAATGGCCTTGAGGAATTTCTGTCAGTAGCTGTGGTCATTTGGGTGTTTCTGTGCCAGATTGCTCCAAGAGTGTGGCTCTTGGAAGGGTTTTCCAGCTGTTTGCTCTCTTCTGCTTCCCCTGAGCGGCAGTTTTTGAAGTTCTCAGTTGTGTTCCGTATGTGGCTATGCTTGAAATTGTTCATTGTTTCCCTGATTTATTTTGAAAAAGTGGATGATGTCTCTGATTAGATTCAGAGTGTCCCCAGAAAGAGTTGCAGGAGCTTGCCTGAGGGGCTGGTAAATTGTAGTGGTCATTGACATAGCAGGTGTGGGACAAAGGAGAGATCAGGAACCTGTTAAGCTGCCTTTTCCATTGAAAAAATTATAATGTGGAACAGGACATTCATTTTTACTTGGGCTCTCACCTGTAACTTTAATTTACATCTCCGAAGATACAGTACAGTGCTATTACTCAAGCAGCAGTCTCTCATCTAGCTCTTAAGCATATTTTACCTAAACCTTACCTTATCTTCAGGCAATCCAGTACCGCTTACCATTACCATGCTCTCTCAGAAAGCGGCTGCGAATCATGAAGGCAAAGCGAAACCTGTATATTACTTCCTTCTGATCAGATCTCAGTAAGAATTAACAGACCTTAGAAGAATTTCCCAGTAGACCTTTGTAGAAATTAATTAAGTACCCCTTCTCCACTGGATTAACCAAAACATTTAGTAACGAGAACTTCTTTGATATGCAGATTGAGTGCTGCAGCCCTGTCCTTGCCTGGCCCTGGGTTCCGCTGAGCTGGGCACTGCCCTGATCCCATCCTCATCCTGTCCCCATCCCAGGGGATGCCTACCTGGCAGGCCCCATGGTGCCTGGGGATGGCCAGGCTGTGGCTGACCCTGGTTGCCATCCCCAGCACATCCCAGCTCACCTTGCTGGGGTCCATAGGATGGGGCTGGCAAGGGAGGGAAGCACTACACTGCCCTGGCAACCCTGTGGCCCTCTGCCTTGCCCAGGAGCCCTGATGCTGCCTCCTGGTCCAGCTCCATAGTCCCACAGCAGGGCCTTCCACAGACTGAGCCTTATGATGTCTGATTACACTAACAAACTAGTCAATTTTGCTTTAAAGACAAGCTGAGGCTGAAGCTCTAAAGATGTGCACAACATGAGCTTCTCAAAACCCATTCTAAATACAGCTAATATTCCCTGTGAGCGATGTTTTCCATAAAAATGGGCACAGAGCTGGAAGAGTGTGACTTTAGGACTTGTGAAGGAGTCACAGGACATGCTGAAAACAGTGAGCAGGTGTCAGTTTTGTAGGTGACGCTTGCCAGCCCTTGGAAGGCAACAAAAATCAAAGCATATGGCCCTAGGACTTTCTGAGTCATGGGAATTTCCTAGGAGCTGCATGGGTACCATGACTCCCTATCCTCATGTACTAGAGGCTACGGACATCGTTCCTCTCCTTTATTCCCAGTGACACAGCTGCACCTTCACCTCTCCTTCTGGGCAGTAGCCAGGACAGAAAGTAAACTAGAGGAACAGTATTAATGTTGATTTCCTTTTCTACTGGGTTTCTAACAAGGAACCGTTCATTGCAAAATGTTTCTTTCTTAAACTCAGCTAACCCTTTCCAGCCAGGCCCAGAGCACACCATATTGCTGCGAGGAGACATTTTGGGGAGATGAAAAGAGGGCAGATGATGTCTTTGAGGCTATACCTTGTCTTTTAGCACCTATTCATCCTCATCTGTCTTACAGCATGAGGGAATGCAGAGATCTCTGAACAGGCTACCTAGAAAATTCACTGTTGTGCACTGGAAACTGGAGAAAAGAATGCCTGATTCATCACTGTGCTGCTGCTGGGCTGAGGGCAATATAACACCATGGAAATCAGCTGGGATGAAGCTGGGATGAAGCTACAATAGATCAACACAGAGAACAAGCATTCACACCATTGTATTTACACTCGATGCCCTTGTGCATTGAAAGCATTCCTTGCACTGCAAAGCCACAGCATCCCACTTGTAAATACTGATAAAACACACCTCTTTGCACAGCATGACCTGCTTAGAACAAAAAAAATGCATCAATCCAATTTTGTGTAAACAGCCTGGTTTTACTTTCCAGAGCTGCGTGCATGTAACGTGTCGCTGCTGACTGCCTTTATTCAACAAGAATAATGTCAAATGCTCTTCTGGCACTAAAAAATGAAGACTTTGACCACACATTAACCCCATTAGTATGGTGTTAACTTTTGACTTTAATTCTGGCACAGTGTTAGGGGTATTTAAAAGCAGAACAAAGTGAAAGGAAATGTTAAACACATTCCTCTTTCTCTTGAAAACTGGGACGATAATTTAATGCTAATGTCATGAGATGGGTAAAAGGGTTTCATGTCTCTATGTCTTGTACAGAGTGTTACTGGAGGTAAACTGGGCAACTGAAAAAAAGAAACATGTAACAGCTTTCGAAAGGAGTTTCCTGTGTACTTTACCCTTTGAAGTCATTTTAGGCGCATACCTTAGGAGGTTTAAAGTTACTTCAGTAACACTTTCATTATTGGTGAAAATACAGTGGTGATCAAAAGAATATAATAAAAAAAAATCATTAATTATTAACTTTCCTATATTTTAATTTATGCCAGCACTTTACATACAAAGAAATGTTTCTAAATAAACATTTGTTAGGTGAGTAAGCCTCCTAAAGAGGTATAATGTAGGTCCTTGAAAGGCTACATATACTGCCTCCAGAGGTTTAATATTTGGCAGAATGTAATTTGCTGCTTCAGCTGGCCATATCTGGCCATAAATTACTAATTACATGAAGCTTAGAATAACCAAATGATGGTTGCTTCCGAGATTACTATAACAAAAACCAGTACTCTGATTTCCAAAGATTGCAAGGCTGTAGATGGATAAACATAAGGCATAGAAAGAGAGATGTGTTCAGCACTCTCTTAAGGTAAACCTGAATTTTATTTTAAAATGGATGCATATATTTACTGAAGGAGAAATGTGGAGTCAGCTGCAATTGCATGGAGAAAACATTATATCCTATGGCTAGTAAACTCCAAATACACCCCAGGGGACTGATTGGAAGTTACCTACAGTTCTCTCATTATCACAGCACTTTGCGTCTCTGGTGACTTTTGTCACAGTAAGCAGATTGGGAAGGAGTGAGTGCAGGATGAAAAAATAAATGTACAGGAGCATATTTTATGAGAAACCCACGCTTCATCTACATCAACGAAACACAGGAACAATCTTAACTCTTCTGTAGTTCTAGTTATTTGTTCTTCCTGCATTGGCGATACCTAGTTTTGACAGGATTACTCCATTGTGTCTATTTGTAAGTAGTATAAAAATGCAAAAGATGATCCACACACACGATTTTCTTATTTCCTTTTGTAATTGAATGGGCTGAAGGTGAGCTTGAGTTCTTCAAATAATGTCCACATGGCCAACACACACAGTAGAGGGATAGATAAGGCAGTCCAGCTCTCTGAGACCTTTGCTGAGATGTGAGAATGTTTCCATTGACTGCTGAGCTAATCACCTTGGTCATACCTTCTAGTCTGTGCTGAGAGCTGTCCGGAGGGCATCTCCGTGTTGCAGTGTACTGAGACACTGATGGCTTGTCTCTTTGCATGTTGCTGAAGGCTAAGCAAAACTGCTTCTATAGGAAGGGCAAGTGGTCAGCATGGCCACGCTAAGACTGAAGTCTTTTAGGATTGTAGGCCCTCCTTCATGTTAAAGAAGGTCTAGCCACCTTTTTTTCTTTCTTTTTTTTTTTTTTTAATTTTTTATTGTATCAACAGGAGCATTTGTTTGAGCTTTATATGCACTAGGAGCAGATTATGTTATTTGGGTGTTAAAATTAATGCAGTTCTTCTCTTTGCTGTCAGCCAACATAAAATGTATTGCTTGGGATTTCTCTGAAGTTTCACATCACATTTCTTGTAGATTGTTTTAAATAACAATGATGAGAAATGTGCTATAATGCAGCACAAGAATTTTAGCTGAGATAACATAGAAATAATGGATGTTTATAGTCACAATATTTGTTACAGTAGTATAATTTATACTTTAGTAAATGAAATATTAGGCTGTATTCAGAATATCATTGTATTAAGCATTGTAGAGATATACTGTAACTGATTGTCTGTGTCTCAGAGCTATGATCAAAGAGCCTTAACAGAAAAAAAGCAGCAGAAGGGAGAAAAAGATGACAAAAATATCTCAACAACTAAAGAGTGGTTCATAGCCAAGCATTAAAACCAAGTGTCTCACCATTTCTGATGTTGTCCTTTCTTCATGGGCATCAGATCGAGCAATGTGATGAGTTAGAATTCCCTCTGCTTCCCTTCTCTGGCCAGAACTGCACCAGGTGCTCCTAGCCTGACAAAGGCCATGGCCAGACCCCACCTGCAGTACTGTGTCCTCAGTACAGGAAAGACATGGACTTGTTGGAGAGGGTCCGGAGGAGGGCCACAAAAATGATCAGAGGGATGGAGCACCTCTCCTATGAGGAACGGCTGAGACAGTTGGTGTTGTTTAGCCTGGAGAAGACTCCAGGGAGACCTTATTGTGGCCTTTCAGTTCTTAAAAGGGGCCTATACAAAAGATGGGGAGAAACTTTTTAGCAGGGCCTGTTGTGATAGGACAAGAGGTAATAGTTTTGAACTTAAAGAGGGGAGATTCAGGCTGGATTTGAGGAAAAAAATCTTTACAATGAGGGTGGTGCAATACTGGCACAGGCTGCCCAGAGAGGTGGTGGGTGCACCACCCCTGGAGACATTCAGGGCCAGGCTGGATGTGGTTCTGAGCAACCTGATCTAGTTGGAGATGTCCCTGCTCATTGTAGGGGGGTTGGACTAGATGACCTTTGAAGGTCCCTTCCAACCCAGACTATTCTAAGATTCTATGAAACATACCTGGATGAAAGTGAGTGTGCTTACTACATGCAAAATGGCAGACGTTATTATAGAGGGTTTTTTTTCTGTCAATGACTTCTGCTGCAGTTACTTTCAAAGACCAAACAACAAAATCTATCAATATCCAAAACATCACAGAAGAAATTTAGAAACTCAACCAATGTGTATAAATCTTTTCATTGGAAACTAGTCCAGATTCTCAGTTCTTTGAAAATCCCTAGATAACGAATGTTGACTTACAGAAGAAACACTGGGCAAGCAGTTAATCCCTTAACATGGGCAAGAAAGTGGCTGTGATAACTGAAAACAGTAAACATAGTGTAAGTCGCAGCTACATTTCCTTAAGTGATGTGTTTTCTGTTTATTTTTCTTAGCTTTCTGTTACGTCCTTGCATTTAGAAAAGGAACAAGTAAATATTATTTAGGATTTATATAGCAAACCGAAAGCATTGCAGTTAGAACCTCTAGATGAATACGTGTTCTAGAAATAAGCTTCCACATAAAAACAGGCAGTTTATACATATTTTTCTTTTGATTGCTCAACCCTAATATTTTTTCTCTATAAGACTATTATTTTATCTTCCACAAATTCCTAAGGAGCACACCATTAAATAGTGACAAGGGATATCTAATTTCCTACTAGGAAGTCAGAGAAGTCATTGCAGGTCCGTTGAGTTAGCTCCCAAGCACGATTTTCTAATAATACTTGGAAGGATATCTTCATTCTCTCTAGTAGCATGAGTAATTCATGATGAATAGGAATATGGAGCCTCAAAGAAGGCAGTGCAGAGGACTAGGCTTTCTAGCCTGTATCACCCTGAGTGCAAACAGAAATACTGATTAATGCAGTCTCCTTTCTGATTCTTCTCTGCCCTCTTTTCCACAAGTGCTTTTCATCCAAACAGGCTCTGAATCTAGAGCTTCAGTGGCTAGTCACAACCACGAACATTCTGCAGTAAAAAGTTTCTCACATTCAATGTACATCAATCCCCTTGCAATAAATATGTCACAACCTGCTGCTGGTAACCCCATGTACTCTGTCACAGAGCCACTCCTCTCTCAACCCCATGTACCCTGGTCCCAGGAGCATTCGGGGAGCCCCAGGCTGTGGTATGGTACAATGCATTGTCATCATCGTGTTTATGCCTTCACAACAGGATGCTGCTTAGTGGGGATTCTTTAGCTCAATGTGCTCTTAATCACAACACATAGATCCATTCTCCTTCAAAATAACAGTGTAAGAACATAAACTTTAAATAAATGCAATGCAATAAGCAGAAAGCAGCATTTATTTGCTCTTGGTTTTCTTGCTTTCTTATTACTTCTCACCAGCTACTCCCTATTCCATCCCTACTCCCATATTCTTTCATCTCTTTCCTCTACCTTGTCTCTTTCAAAGATACCCATTTTGTATGAAATACTATTGTAAAAAATGTTAGCCCATAAAAAGAACTCAGAGCTTGCTACTAGACTGTGGATCAGTTTCCAGGGAGCTATGTCTCTATATGACAAAAGTGATCAGGAGTCAACCTACCAATACGAAAAAGAGGCAGGCAGCCATCAGAGAAAGTCTAAGAAGCCATTTTAGAGAGCTGAAACAAATAACAAGTTAGTTTCCCGAACAAGAGATTCCACAGACTGGAGGAGAGACATATGCAAGAGGGAGAGAAGAAAAGAATCTGGAAAATCTGGGCCTAAACCTAAATTGTTCTCCAGAAAGTGAGGAAATGGAGGCATGGGAATACGCTGAGGACCTGCATTATTTTATCTAGTTATTGTTACGTAAAGAGGAGTACTTTATTTTTCTCGTAGTAAAAGAAAGAAGAATCAATGTAGAATCCCTTTTGTAAGGCCTTTGTGTTACAAGCTTTAAGTGCTATGTAGCCACAGAAAGACTAGAGCAAACTCAAATTACTCCTGTGGCTGAAGATTTAGGAAAAGGACGCCGTAGGTTTAGAACTACTTCATGAGACTGTACTCATGCAGGATACCTGTACCAAGAAGCTGCACATTGGAGAAGTCAAGGAAAGAGTGGGCTGGACTTCACCCAAATCAAAGACAGCTGTGAAATGCATCAGTCCAACATGTGAA